AAATAAATTTCTGTCATGACAACTCTCTGAGGGATTGGCATGGTAATGTACATGACAGTGTTAATGTATTTGGTCTTGGCGGAATAGATCTGCTACGCTGCTGCTGCTGCTGCGGCAGAGCAAGTACCGAGACTTGCTACTGCCAATACATCCACAACATGCTGCTGTGAGCATGTAAGAAATACTGCTGCTGCACATATAACATACATGAAATAACCCCCATATAGCATACATGAATCACCTCGTAGCAGATCTATACAGGTGGAGCTGGGGAAGGTGGAGGGTTTCTGAAGCACGCTGCAACTGCTATGGCAAGCACTAGTCATATATTTGAATGTTGAGCAGCGAGCTCATTGGCTACCGATACAGGAGAGAACCTATCAGCTGTGCCATGTGATAATGATGTCATTAGGTCAGATTGAGTTAGACCTATCGGACTGCGCCATCTAGAGTTTCATGCCAGAACTCTGTATATGGACCTAACTGTAATTATAGCAATAATTCCAGTTTAACTTTGTGTTTTAGAGTGTATTCCTGTGATTGACTGATAATTATTGTTCTGAGTTTTTAGGCCACTGTATCTTGAGTTTAACATGCTTCCTCTTGAGCTCGGACTGATGTACGCTATACTGCAAATGTACAACCATACTAGTTTAGTCCGCATATCTTCAGCTGTGTGTGTGTGTGTGTGTGTGTGTGTGTGTGTGTGTCACCTGTCAAATTATGGTCAGATGGATTTGCGTGACCCTGTCCTGACCTCAGAGCGCTTGTCTGCGGCTGGTGACACACGGGATAATGTGTGTCTGTGTCTGTCTGAACATCCTTTTCTGTGCTCTTCTGTGTGTGTTTTCTGGGTAAATCGCTATCTTTAGGTCACATTTCACCCCTGAATCAATAGGGAAAACATGAGAAATTATATTTTGCATCAAGAAAATGAAGATTTAAGGACACAAACCTCACGCTTATTTTTAATACTTTTTTTATAAATTAAAAAGTACAATAAATATGACTACAACATAAATGTACTACTTTACTAATTAATAACATTTAGTAATAATAGTAATAGCATGCTTTTTTTCACATAACAGTAATCAGAATACGAATATTTTTGTCATGAAAATAATGTCACAATGCAAAAAAAGTCATAATGGTTCTAAAAACAGTTTTTTGTTATATAAAATACCTGACCTGAATGTTTCATGACAGACATGATGAGATTGCGCCATGTCTTGACGTGATTGCAGAGATTCAGTGCTGTAATCGTTGTCTTTCTTAGGTCTGTCTGGCTGTGACATGAGAAGAAGAAAGAGTCAAACGTGTTCAGACTGATTCAGGATTGTGAATCAGCGACCGGCTGAACGGAGCTCCTGTCACATACTGTAAAGGGAGGAGCATGAGCCAATAAGATGCTTACCCTCACCTCTGGTCCCTCCCCTTTATAAAAAAACTCCTGTTACTTGAAATCACTATATCCTCAGCACTTTTTCATTCTTTCTTTTGAAGAACCTTCCTTCACACGCTCGTTGCTCTTTCAGCTGCAGCTCAGTGTGAGAGCAACTGTTTGTCAATGCACTGTTCCCGTCCGCTGCTCGTGTTGTGCTGGATGAAGATGTCTATATAATGCTACGATGAATGTTTTGTTGCCTTTCAGATGTTATTAGTTAAAGCATTAAGTCACTGTTCTTGTGATTCACTGTCAGTTCAAACCTTCATGCACCCCTTTGTTTATTCTTTCTGATTTGAAAAGATGAAATCCTTAAAATACAAGTAAACCGAAGAGACACACTGAACTGAAGCAGAGCAAAAAGTCATATTTCACTCCAAACAACAGGAAGAAATAATATTTTGCGTGAAGCTTGTTTTAGGGCCTTTTTTGCATTTTGCTATTATTTTCATGATAATTAAGCACATTTCACCCCAAATTCGCATTATTATTATACACAAGAAAAGTTCATACATTTTGGTAGAATTAGTCATACTGTAATTTCATACATAATTAGTCATATGTAGATTTTTTTTTTTTAAAGTACATTATTACAATATTTATAGTAATGAGAATCACCACTGAGAATGAGGAAAACTTATTGCACACATTACAGGACCGACAATGAGATGTTTTTCAATATATGAATAATGTCACAATGTAAAAATATCTTAATGGTCCTAAAACGGCTTTATTTTACAGAATGTGACATTTTTCTTTGGTTTTTGGAGTGAAACCCTGTTGTGTTTTCGCAACATTCACCCACGATTTCACAAGACAAGTGTGTTCATAAACTCTTCTAAAGTCTTTGGTAAGTCCATGGTCTGTTGCTTCCTCAAACTGTGCTGTACAAGCCAGAGATGGTTTTCACCGTCTTCATGAGGATCCCCAGCTTCATTGTTTAAGGGCAGATTCCACTCAATATTACACCCGTCTGTAGACCTTTTGCCATTTCAATGCTTGAGGGGAAACGGTTCGCTGTTGTGTGAATTTTAAGGTAAAGGTTTGGAGGAGAGGACTTAGTTTAAGAACGTCGTTTTCCTGTCTCTTCATCCTCTCACCAAAGGCACACTTCTCTTTTGTATGCAGCTGTATTGTGATTGCAACAGAAGTACTGTACACCTGCACACTCAGAGTCCAGTCTGTGTGCCTGGAGGTCGATCATGGTCAATATGTAATGAATGATGTAAACAGTGCATTTGCTTCCCTTTTAATATTGTTTGAACCCTTGAAGCAGAACCAGTATTATTAAAAGCATTTTATGTGTACAAAAGCTGTCTTATAGCATATCAATGAATAAAAGAGTATCTGGTCACTGATGTTTATGAGGCTTCATTTATTCATTTAGCTCTTTAAAAGCAAATGTGTTCCAGCACTAGGCACATTTATCTTCGCAGTGACTGTTGAGGAGCAGCACACATGTTCTCATTGTCGATGCTTCACCACAGAAATGGACATATTTCTTTCACAAGACACAAAAGATTCTTGCTAATCTGAATGTGTGATGATTTTAGTAGCTTCTTGGAATAGGGTGGCACTGACTTCCTGTTAGCAGAATATTATTCCGTCATATATAGATGAATTGTGAAAGCATCTGCTGAGATATGTTGAAACTGATTTCCATCACTTTTATGACAAAATCTTTTACCAATAGAGTTTTAGATGCGGATTATTATACAATCATGTTCACGAACAGACTGAAAACAGTTTCCACATTAAATAATTAGTAATAAATGTTCAACCAAGTGGACATGAACCCTGGAGATAATGCAAATGGTCTACCAATAACTGAGCAAAATTGAACTGCTGTGGGAAAAAAATGCAACATTATGTGAAGTTCAAGCTAAGCTAAAGCAAATAAGCTGAGGTTCATTTAAATGTTTCATTGTCCTGCCCACATTGAAATGTTTTAAGAGTGCTGTTCTGAATTTTAGCATGACTGTGAATACCTGTGGCTTCCGCCAAATCAAAACAGATTAACAGCATGATTGTGAGTGTGATGTTGCTAACAAGAACTTAATATTGATTAACTAACATTTAGAGACACAATACTGCTAATTTATCTATTTGCTCTACCAACGAAACTGGCATTCATTTGGTATCTCAACATGGGAAAGCACCAATAACACCACGTCTGTCAGCTGGCAAACCAATCCCAGCAATGATGCGGGAATCCCTCTTTGGGGACCAGTCTGTCTAGGCGGGTTAAGAGCCAGTGTAAACTAGGTGGCATCTCTGTTGTGGTGACCACGAGCCCATCCAATGGTGCAGTGAGAAGAAAACATCCCTCGCATCCATGCGCCTGTGGGTCTATGATTTCCTCTGTGTATCACATGTTTGAGAGTCAGACACGTACAGACTGTGAGTTTTTATGGATTAAATCTTTCCCTATGAGATGATTGCTCATCTCTTAACTCGTTCCCCGCCACATAAATGGGATTAATGGGGTCTTTTATGAGACAACACTTCCCTGCCATTGATGGAATTTTATGGCTTTCTGTGTTTTTACTGTTATACAGAAGGGGGTGCTATTAGACATCATCTGAAAGAGTACAGAATCTCCTTCATACTGGCAGTGAAATGAGTGAGTCCCCCTCCTTCAGGCCAGGGGAACTAGACATTATAGAGAAGTGTAGGAGAGCTGCTGCTAAACTCTCCACAGACTGGCCTTTACAGCATATAATCCATACAGCGGTGGCCAAAATGATTAGAACACTAGTATTTCACCAGCTAAAAAATGGTTTTAAGTCAGTTATTTCTATATTTTGCTGTAGTGTGTCAGTAGGAAATATCAGTTTACATTTCCAAACATTCATTTTGCCATAAATTGTAATAATCGAGTGGGATTTTTGTCTGTCAACAGCCAGTGCTCCACACAGAGATCTGATCTCATCATCATCCAGTCTGTGTCACAGCCATCTGCTGGAATGCCCTTGCCAGCAATCAGAGGACACTCTTCTGGACTGTTGTTTGTGTTCCGAACTTCAGTTCCCATCACCCCTTGCACTCATTATTCGTTCTCATTGTTCCCAACTGTGTGTCATTCAGTATTATTTGTTCCCCTATATATACCATGTTCTGTTATCCTTTGTTTGCTTCAGTATTGCGTTCTGTTTCTGTATACTTTCTGTTACCCCGTGTTTGAATTACTTTTTGCTTTCTTCTTGTTTGCCCTGTTGTGGATCTTTGTTTTAGATTTATTAAACTGCACTTGGATCTTTCATTGTTTTCCCGAATATTTCGTGACAGAATACTGAAGCCCAACATCAGATCCAGCAGTTGGGCAGTGTTCTCTGTTTTTCTTTTGGACCAAGGGCATTCATATTCTTCCTCCAGCCACTAGTAAGGAGCGGATTGCATGATTTCGGGCCTTGTTGGCTCTGCGCCAGCAGGGGATGGAGGTTGGAGGTTTCATTCATTTTTTTTTGGACTTTAGCGGAGGGGCTGGATTACAATGATTAATGGTTGCCTGGATGAACCTCGGCCCCAGTGTGAGATGGAAGCACTTCAGACTCTGGATTATTGGGGTTTTGTTAACTATCTCTGTTACCGCAGTTTAGAGGTGTCACTAGGTGAGTCTGAGCCCACTGCAGTGCCCCCGGAGATGCCAGAGTCCGCTGTAACCTCTTCAGAGAACAGTGAAGCTTCCCTATCTCTGACCAGTAAAGGTAGGGTGAGAAGGAGGAGGGCAGTTAAGTCCGCTCCTGTGGTCCCAGGTCTGGTGGTCCTGGAGGACCCGACTCCGGTGGCCTCAGAGTCCACTCCAGAGCCTGCTCTAGTCCGGGAGCCCTCACAATCCACTTCAGAGCCTGCTCTAGTCCGGGAGCCCTCAAAGTCCACTCATGAACCCGCTCCAGTCTGGGAGCCCTCAGAATCCACTCCAGAGCCTGCCCCAGCCGGGGATCCCACAGAATCCACTCCAGAGCCTGCTCCAGTCTGGGAGCCCTCAGAGTCCACTCCAGAGCCTGCTCCAGTCCGGGAGACCTCAGAGTCCATCATGAACCCGCTCCAGTCTGGGAGCCCACAGAATCCACACCAGAGCCTGCCCCAGCCCGGGATCCCACAGAATCCACTCCAGAGCCTGCTCCAGTCCGGGAGACCTCAGAGTCCACTCATGAACCCGCTCCAGTCTGGGAGCTCTCAGAGTCCACTCCAGAGCCCACTCCAGTCCGGGAGCTCTTCAAGTTCACTCCAGAGCCTACTGTAGTCTATGAGTTTACTCCTGATCCCACTCAAGTCTATGAGTTCACCCCAGAGCCCACTCAAATCTACAAGTTTATTCCAGAGTTCGCTCCAGTCTATGAGTCCGCTCCAGAGCCCACTCAAATCTACGGGTTTATTCCAGAGCTCACTCCAGTCTATGTGTCCGCTCCAGAGCCCACTCAATTTTACGAGTACACCCCAAAGCCCAATCCAGTCCAGGAGTCCACTCCTAAGCCTGCTTCCAGTTCGTCCCGAGGTGGCGGCATCTGCATGCAGAACCTCCAGAGGTGGCGGGGGTGTTCACTTCAGCTCCTCTGAAGACAGGGGTGTCCATTTATAAACTCTTCATCTATCTTGACGAGGTCATGGAGACCGTCAGTGAATCCCCTGTCATACCAGTCTCGGCCCTAGAAGTCTATAATAAACTCTTAGCCCTGCCTATTACGGTCGCAAAGACTGCCTCTGAATTCACTCAGTGCCCTGTTGCGGTCGTGGAGACCATTGCTGAACTGCCTGCCTGTCTTATTGCGGCCATCAAGGCTGTTACTAATCTCTCTGTGCTCTTAATTGCAGTCCTGCCTGAGCCGCTAGGGGGGTCATCTGCTTTGTCAGCTCCGCTGAGGTGGGCTTCAGCTCCACCCTTGCTGCCTAGCTCCTAGCCTCTACCTCCGTGTCCAGACCCTTTTCCACTACATGGGCATGGCCCGCCATCCCCCACCCCCTGATCCACCTCCGTTCTGCCTCCCTCCTGGATTTCTCCCTCCTGGATTTCTTTGATTTTTGTTGGAGCATCTGGAATCCGCTCCTTAAAGCGGGGGTCATGTCACAACCATCTGCTGGAATGCCCTTGCCAGCCATCAGAGGACACTCTTCTGGACTGTTGTTTGTGTTCCGGACTTCAGTTCCCATCACCCCTTGCACTTATTATTAGTTCTCATTGTTCCCAGCTGTGTGTCATTTAGTATTATTTGTTCCCCTCTATATACCATGTTCTGTTATTCCTTGTTTGCTTCAGTATTGCTTTCTGTTTCTGTGTACTTTCTGTTACCCCGTTTTTTAATTACTTTTTGCTTTCTTCTTGTTTGCCCTGTTTTGGATCTTTGTTTTGGATTTATTAAACTGCACTTGGATCTTTCATTGTTTTCTCGAATATTTCGTGACAGTCTGT